CGAGCTACGGCAGGGGGTACAGCGGGGTGCCCCCCAGCACCACCTCCACCAGCCCCGCCGTGAACGTGAGCCTGGGCACGGCCAGCGTGGCTCAGCACCAGCCCGCGTGCCTGCAAGCCACCGTGCCAGCAGGCAGCAGGGCTTGGTAGGGGGCCACGGGGCTCAGGACCACCTGAAAAACGCTGAGAAAAGCCCCCCCTCTGCTCCAGAGCCCGGCCTTCGTCGGGATGGGAACCAAACCCAAAGGGTTCAGACACCCCGGACAGCGGGACGTGCCCGGAGCACCCGTCCCCTCCAGGCAGCTCGTGGGGTCACGTCTCTGCAGAGGCAGGTCAGGAGAGAGGGGGACGCTGCCACTCCAGCACTGCGACTTCGGGGACCCCGTGACGAAGGGCATTTATTTATTTAAACACAAATGTTTCGGAGTCTGGCCCTTCCTGCTCCCAGAGGGTTTGATCTCCCAGGAAGCCAGCAGAGGCCATCAGGAGGGTGTGAACACTGGTTTTCTTCCTGAGGACAACTGGAAAACAGGGTCTGTGCACATCGCTGTGCGTTCAGTTTTATTATGAACACTATTTAATGTTTGGAGTTCCTCTAATCTTTGGAGAGACATTTCTGATTTATATTTCTTAACATCTCCCAGCACAGGTGTTAATTTCTGTCTCTATTATTATTATTATTATTATTATTATTATTATTATTATTATTATTATTATTATTTGCAAATAAAAACAAATGGATGAAACTGTGGGTTTTTACTCTCTCGCCATTCCTCACTTAGTATTTTCACTTTACCTATCCATAACTCGCATCTGAGCATCAAAATCTGACCCAAAGGAAAAAAAAAAAAACACACAACCAAACAAAATCAATCTTAATACTAATAATTAACCCAGAAAGATAATTGCCTTGTAGTCCAAGCTTGTGGAGCTCCCAAGGTTTAACCCCCTCTGTAAGTCTTGGCGGTTTTTGGTGTTTTCAGCTCTCTGTGGCCGTTTCCTTGTCGGTAAAACGGGTTTGCAGGTACCTGGTGGGGCAGCCGCGAGGGGCAGCCCCGTAGTTACGGGATCACACGGTGGGTTGGTGTTGCCTGAATTACACCAACACCACCGGTGCTGAGCCAAGAGGTGCAGGATCCACCGGCATCAAGTGCCTCCCTGGATCAAAGGACTGTATATATAGGGGGTTTATATATTTATATATATTTTTATGAAATGCAGGAGAGCTGCGTGCCATTGCAGTGTCCCGGGGTGATCAAAGGGGGACACAGCCACTTCCCGAACAGGCAACACAAACCCACAGCCTCACACTCAGAGGATAAACCCACTGAGACCTCGTTAGACCGACCCACTCGTCCACCTGCCCACGACCCCCAGTGCAGGGTTTACTCACATCAGGGAGGGGGAAAAAAACCACACAAAGGTCAGTTCCTGATGCAAAAACGTTGGTTTAACAGAGATCTTTCCACTACGATGCTGAGATGTCCCAGTGATGGAGCCAGAGAGCAACCTGCACACAGCTCCTACCTCATGGGACAGGCAAAATCTCCCCTCCCCAGCGAGCTGCTGCCCCCTCCTCCCCACTCCTTTCCCGACAGCTTCTTATCCTCCCAGTGTTTGACGAAAAGAGACTTGCAGGAGGCAATTAAGCTTTTATCTCTAATCCCACTCAGCCCCATCACTCCGGCTTCCCAAACGGGACAGCCCTGACATCCAAATCAAACCCGAAAAACCTTCTAGGTGAGACAGCCAGCTCGTTGTCCCGCCAGGCCGAGCAATGCAGCCCCACTGAGACCCTGGAAATGACTGGGTAAGGTGACAGCCACGCTGGGTGCTCCTCCTTCTCCTCCCCTTCCTCCATCCGCACCCACTCGGGGAGATCTCCCAAAATCTTGAGTCCCTGTCCCGGTTTTGGAGCTGCCAAGGGACTGGACTGGGTTCTTGCGCTGGGAAATGCTGCCGGCATCGGGGAAAGCCCCGGCAGACAGCGGCATCCCCAGTGCATGGGCTCACCTGCAAGTCTTAACAACACCAGGGGTTTTTCCTCTGAGGTTCAGCAATCAAATGAGGGAAATCACATGAAAGTCCCTCCCCAATAAACACAGGCATCCGAGAAGGAAATTGCTACCCTCCCCAGCTCAGAAAAAAAAGGCTGAAAATGGGAATCATGAGTGCTGAAGGCATCGTTTATGTCCATTCCTATGTTCTGGGATCGGGATACCCTTAAAACAGCGGTGACTGACAGATCCCCTCTGTCACCTGTCCCTCTGCAACACACGCCAGGGCCGTGGCTTTAAACCTCCCCTGTTTCCCGGCCGAATCCAAAATTACCCACTACACTAACCACCCCAAAAATGAGATTTCCCAAATGCAGACCCGCACACAAACCAGCCCATGTTCCCCCAAAGCCTTCTCCCAGAACAGAACTCCTCTCCTGGGCCGAATTACCCACTTCTCATCAGCTATGAGTTATTTTCACCGGGCGAGTCAAGACTCTGGCACCAGAACTGAAGGGAAAAGAGAGCTGGACATAAAAGAGCTGTGTGACGAGGCTGCCCAGGACAGACGTACAGACAGAGGGGTCGAGCAGACAGACGCCACCAAGACATCTCACTAATGGTTACGGCAAAGCTGTGGCTGCAAAGCAGAGGTGTAACAGCCCAGCTCTACTTGCAGGAAAATTCTTAACTGGAATGAAATGATCCCCCTGGAAGGAAGGGAACTGCCCAGCTTCTGGGGACAGAAAATGTTCAAGTATTTGTGCTAGAGCCCAAAATAGTTGTGGATGCACAACACGCTGAGTCCCTGGGCGTGCTGATCTCTGACAGCAGCAAGAGCAGCCTAAAATCAGCAGGGGCAGGGTCTCTGCAGCGGGAAAACTGGCTCCCAAATTCAGCAGAGAGCGCTCCTGGGGAGCAGCACGGCTGCCTGGCCCCGGCGAGCATCCCTGCACCGAGCTGGGCTCACAGTCAACCGGCCTTTGGGCAACGTGCCTTTGGGCAAGCCCTGGTCCTGTCGGGGCTCCCCCTCCATCTCAACCCCCCCCTGGGCCGCACAGTGGGATCCCAATTAAGCACTGGAGCGGGTGGGCAGGGAGCCGTGGGGCAGCCCCCCACCCTCCACGGCCGCAGGAGCACCTTGCCAGCTCCTGGTGTGCTCTCGAACCAGGGCACGGCTGCAATAACACTCTTGGGCTCCAAACGCTTCATAAATCTTTCCAAATTCCCTTGCTCAGACTGTAGGAGGATAATGAGGCTGAATTATTGAAGCTGCTGAAGTTTTCCAAGCACGCAGCGAACAGAGGGGGACAATTTCTAAGCCAGGAGCATCAGTAGGTGAAAGCATGAGAAGAAGGGGCAGGTTAAAATCAGGGTTTGGGGCAATCTGCGCAACCTGCTCTGGGCTTCGGGCTGCCGAAACCAAACCCCGTCCTATAAAATCAACAAAGTCCTCAAGGGGTTTCAAGAAAATCTGTTGTTTTCCCTTTTTAAAGTTTAAAGAAAAAAACCAAAACATGCCTGGGCTTTTTGGCTGAGGATGAGGGGCTGGGTGGGAGTGAAGGCTTTAGGAATAAAAGAGATGATCAGTGCTACATTAGTCCAACAGCAAAGGGAGTTTGCAGACAACAGGGCTATAGGGGTGACGGTCAGTGTGTATATATCTATATCTATATCCATATCCATATCTATATCTATATCTATATACATCTCCATCACTCAGAGGGTGCCTGCAGTTCCCAGGGATGCTGCTCATCTGCACCCACGGAGCCAAATCCTGCTCCTACGGGGCTTCCCCACCAGATTGCTTTGCCTTATGATGGGGCAAGATGATTTTTTAATCATGTGCTGCCCACATCTGGGGGGGGGGGGGGG